GCAGTGTGTGTACACAACCACCCTATAATGATAAAAATCCACCCAGTGTTTTTGTTTTTAATCTACTAAAATCTTCACCCCTTTTTAAAATCGAGCTGATCTCAGATACCTGTCAGACAGGCCCCTCCCACGATAGTTTGATTGACTGCACTTATGAACTTTAATATGCATTATACAGAGGCAAGAGGAAAGAAAAAATACCATTGAAAGACAGTAAGTTCCCCTCAGACATACACATTCATATAAACTCCTACCCCTAATTGAATCGCGATTTGTTTAGCATCTAAGCGATTTGAATCGTCACATATTAAAACTTATAAAAATTAAAATTTTCAACCGGCTCACGGTTAATTGCTACATCCCTAATAAATATGGTTACATATAAACAATGATTTAAACTATTACACATACAGTTGCAAACAAAAGATGATTGAAACTGGTATATGATTTAAACTTGTGTATATACAGATGAACAAAATACAGTTTAAAGTAATATTTTATAATATTTGTATTGTTTGTCTGTTGCATAGGCTAGATATCTTACAAATATATACATCTCATAGAGCGCAAAACCGGCGCGATAACTTGCATTGTGATAACAGTGGAAAGAAATGTAAACGTCTGCTTTATTTTGTGTAAACCCACAATAACAACAAAACGTTACAAACTGGTTTTGTAAAATAACGATGCGCTTTCTGCCATCTTGTGAACTTCTTTCTGAAACGTGCCTCAAAAATTAACTGAAAAGTTAGTGAATATGTCTATAGAAAGCTTGAAAGGTCTCCTTCTAAATGAAACAATCAAAAACAAATATGTTGTGTTTATTTAATTCGTATAAATGCAACGAGAGGTAAATTCTTTGCCGTCTAAGCTCATTCTCAGTATTGTGGTCACACCCACGCGCAGCGCAGCCTATTCCAAAGTCTGGAATTTACCCCAGAATGAGATGCGATGCGCGGCTTGATTCAGCTAAAGATGTATTAACGAGAAAAGGATATCATTTTAACGACATAACATCTCGCTATTACGAGAAAAGATGTTGTTTTAACGAGAAAAAGATGTAGTTTTAACTACATATCTCGTTATTATGAGAAAAGATTTTGTTTTAACGAGATAATTATGTCATTAACAACATAACATCTCATTTTTACGAGAAAAGATGTCTTTTTAACGACATAACATCTCGTTATTACGAGAAAAGATGTCGTTTTAACGAGATAACATCTTGTTATTACGAGAAAAGATGTCGTTTTAACAACTTAACATCTCTTTATTATGAGAAAAGATGATACATCTCGTTATTACGAGAAAAGATGTCGTTTTAACGAGATAACATCTTATTACGAGAAAAGATGTCGTTTTAACAACTTAACATCTCTTTATTATGAGAAAAGATGACGTTTTAACGAGAGAATTATGTCATTTTAACGACATATCTCGTTATTATG